AAAAAAAAAAAAAAAAGAGCGATGACTCTGGAGGCCAACTGCCTTGTTCTGCACAATCATCGCTTTGCTCGTGACCTCCTTGCATCTCTGCTTCCTGACCCATAAAATGGGGATGCTTACTTACTCCTCTGGGATTTTGTGAGGATTAAACAGTTCCTGGTACTTAACAGCCCAATAAATGTCGCTTATTCTTATTACTGTTTGCAGAGTGTGTGTTATGTGTTGGTCATTGTGCTAAGTGTCATGTAATGGATGTGCCAGCGGCCACTGCTGCACTCTCCACATCTCCCCAGCACTCACCAGTCTGCACGTGCCCGTACGCTCTTACTGAACCTGAGATGCTCTGCACGAGTGCGTTCTCTCTCTCCAATGCTGGAGAGTTAATGCTCCCAGGAGCAGCCTTCAACCAGTGATGGCCAGGAGTTGGCAGGTGAAAAGCCAGCTTCCTTGCCTCCCAGGAGGACAGCTCTGAAGCATGAGCTACACTCTCTCCCAGGGTCCCCCATCAGGACTGAGCCCCAACTGCCCACAGGGTTAATCTTCTCATTAATACACTGTACTGGCTTCCTTCTGTTTCACTTCCCTGTTGCCTTTCCAGAACTCTCTGGGATCCTCTACCAACTAAACTATGTTCAGTCTTCATGCTCATCTCGGCGTCTACTTCTAAAACGACGGAGTGTTTCGTTTAATCCTCAATAGTCCTGTAAAATGGACAGATGTCGCTTCCCCCTTGCACACTTGAGCAAAATGGGGCTCAGGTGATGTTATCTGTTCAAGGCCAAAGCTCTGGGCACTCACGCTCTCCACAGCCTCCCTGAGGAACATGCTCTGATGGGCGCTGCCCCGGGACGTCTTCTCGCCCTGCCGCCTGGGGCTCCGCTGACCCCTCCTGAACCACATCTCCCCCTTGCAGGAAGGCCGCTGCCTGTTTGTCATCCTGCTCATGGCGGTGTACTGGTGCACGGAGGCCCTGCCCCTCTCAGTGACAGCCCTGTTGCCCATCATCCTCTTCCCTTTCTTGGGCATCCTGCCCTCCAACAAGGTCTGCCCCCAGTACTTCCTGGACACCAACTTCCTCTTCCTCAGCGGTCTGATCATGGCCAGCGCCATTGAGGAATGGAACCTGCACCGGAGAATCGCCCTCAAGGTCCTGATGCTCGTTGGGGTCCAGCCAACCAGGTAAGAGGGACCGCATCCCTTGGAGCCCAAACCCACCCTTCCTGGTCTGGTCCGGTCACCCAGGTCAACAAGCGTATCGTGTCCCACCTGCCATTGACGCATTCAATCCCCGGATGTTTCGCAAGTCAGACACAGTGCTGGGCTCCTGGGTGGCTCTCAGAAGTGCATGAGAATCACCTGGGGAGGCCACTTGAAATGCAAACCCCAGGCCCCACCTGGGTCCAGTAGTTTTAGAGAGGGCCATTTTAGCAGTGTGACTCAGGCCACTGGGGGCTGAATCCCACCTTTCCTGCTCTGGGAAATGACTTCACTCCTCTCTCTTTGCCTGTAAAGTGAAGGTATAATAGCTTAGACCTGTAAGAGTGCAGTAAATCCTGGCCGATATCATCCTATTTTGCTATTTAATAGCCCAGATGCCAAGGCTGGTGGGGAACGGGGGACAAGATGGCCTTGGAGAGATAGGGTGGCAGGGTCCATTTCTGCAGGGCCTCAGGCTCCCTGGCTAGGATTTGAACTTTTGTTCTAAGAGAAATTAAACGACCTTTAAATAGGGTTTCAGGGGTGCCTGGGTGGCTCAGTCGGTTAAGCGTCCAGCTTTGGCTCAGATCATGATCTCGCTGTCCATGAGTTCGAGCCCCGCATCGGGCTCTGTGCTGACAGCTCGGAGCCTGGAGTGTGGAGCCTGTTTCAGATTCTGTGTCTCCCTCTCTCTCTGCCCCTCCCCCGCTCATGCTCTGTCTCTGTCTCTCTCAAAAATAAATAAACATTAAAAAAATTAATAAAAAAAACCCACACACATTTATGATATAGTCCCATGTGCACTCCTTTACAGTAAATGATAAGATCTAGCGACTGACCTAATAACAACTACAATAACTCCCTCTAGTCCCAGTGTCCGTGATAGTCCAAGATGTTCGCGACTATTACGGCATGATATGAAAATATCTGTGATCTTAATTGGCAACCGAGTCCCAGGCACTTCTGCTCCTATTGAACTTTGTTGCCTTTGTCTATCCCCAAAGGAAATACTTGATTTCTATTAGATATTAATACAATAAAGATGCACCTCCCCCTCATTTCTATCCTGAATTTTATCCACACTGGTCATGAATCTCTGCTTTAAAGAGTTCTAAGGTGGGGAATGACATGACTACATTTGCATGAAAAAAACCACGCACAATTCCTCTAGGCTGCCGCGTGGAGAGCAGACGAAGAGGGAGACACTGGATGCAGCCTAGTTAGGAGAATGTTCTGGGTGTCCAGACGAGACAGGGTGACGGCTTGGACTGGGGTGATGGCAGTGGAGATGAGCTTTGGAAGCTCTTTGGTTGATAAAGTAGCCGGGGGTAACGGTTAGGGAGAAGAAGGTTCTACGTAACTCCTAGGTTTCTGGTGTCGACTGTGTGTCCAGCACTCTGCCCGACTCTGTAACTGTGTTTCCTCATGTCTGTGGGAGAGAGTCTAGCTGTAGAAGTGATTCCAAGAAGTGATTTCGTTGTCAGAACAACGAAAACAGTGTGACGCTAGTCCAGAAATAGATTTTTACATGCCGTATAACATTCTAGAAGAAATCTCAATCGGTGGAGGAAGGAAAGGATTATTCAGTAAACGGTGAAGGTTGGAATAACGGGCTTATCCTTTGAACAAAAAGAAACTACTTAGATCTTGCTTCGTACTATCCATCTAAACAAATTCCAGGTCGATTAAAGGTTCAATGTAAAGCGAAAAGATCATGGAAGTCGGATTCCTGTGGGTGGGAGGGGCCAAGCAGTGGCAGGCAGGCAGGGGGTCAGGGCCTGTCTGGGTGTGCTGGTGAGTTCAGGGGAGTCTGAGGCGGTGCCTGGTAGGAATCGGAGGGGAACTGGGAGAGGAGGCTGGCAAAGGTGGTTTGAGGGGATACGGTGGATGGTCTTGGGGGCGAACCAAGGCAATTTTATTCTGTAATGGAAGCCATCAAGGACTGGGGGACAAAGGGGAGAAAATTTCGGGGCTCGGTGTCTTTGGACTATTTTGCCTGGGGGACCCGTGGCCAGGTGAATCCGTGGCCACGTGGAATCCGTTTCCTTAGACCTGAGATAAGGCTGGCGAATGGATCTGGTCCCCACTCGGTCGCCTGGCTTGTCCCCTCTGGGCCTTGGCTTTCCGTCGGTAAAACAAGCGGCTGGATTCCTCAAGGTGGCAAAGTGGGACCAGAGGACCTCCTGGGCCCCCGTTCTGGATGCGTCTCTAACTCCCTCTGTTCCCAGGCTCATCCTGGGGATGATGGTGACCACCTCCTTCCTGTCCATGTGGCTAAGCAACACCGCCTCCACTGCCATGATGCTGCCCATCGCCAGCGCCGTCCTGAAAAGTCTCTTTGGCCAGGAGACTCGGAAGGACCTCGGCCAGCAGAGCGAAGAGAACGCAGGTGAGGCTGTGGAAAGGCACCGGGGCAGCCCCCCGACCCAGCACGCAAGAGCGGGAGCAGGGTGTCCAAAAGTTGCAGGGGAAGGTGAAGCAAACGCACTTGCTGAGCATATATTATGCGCCGAGTGTTTACATAATAATAGTAACTGACAATTGGCGAAGCCAAACCTTGACACCTTTCTTTCTTTAATTGCATTCACTGAGTGCTTACTGTGTACCGAGTGACGAGTTCAACACTTTGCCCACACTGTCTCTTACTTCTCAAAACAACCTTATGAAGTAGGTACTATACTTACGCCTGGCTTCAGAGCATTTGAAGAGATGCTCAGCACCGCTAATCCCCAGAGAAATGCAATGTTGACAGACCCTGTAACCCGGCGGTTTTGCTCCTGGATGCACACGCCAGAGGAGTTCCGATGCAGGTCCACGAGGGGACAGTTGGGACGGCGCTCACTGCCTCGTACTCTGTGGTGGGGTGACTTGGTAGCCACGTGAACGCAATCACCAATAAAGGGGAAGGTGAAGTGCGTGCTGTTGAGCCCCATGCTGCTTTTAGGAGCAAAGAATTCGTTCTAGAAACGGATCTCACAGAACACAGCTGGGATTGAAAGAAGCCAGAGTGAGAGACAGGAGACAATGCCATTATGTAAATTAAAACCTCACGCAAGGGGCCACTTTGCAAGAACATAAGCGGATGAGAGACTACAGATTAAACACATCAGCACGGTTGCTCTGGGAAGGATGGGAGTGGGAAATGGGAACCAAAGGGACTAAATAAAGAAGTAAATAGGGACGCCTGGGTGGCTCCGTCGGTTAAGCATCCGACTTCGGCTCACGTCATGCTCTCACAGATCGTGAGTTCGAGCCCCGTGTCGGGCTCTGTGCTGACAGCTCAGAGCCTGGAGCCCGCTTCCGATTCTGGTCTCTCTCTCTCTCTCTCTCTGCCCCTCCTCTGCTTGTGCTTGCTCTCTCTCTCTCTCTGTCTCAGAAATAAACATTAAAAAAAGAAAAAAACGAATGAAAAGAACAAAAGAAATAAAACGAAAGAACGGCCTTGTACAATAAGCAGTGAGAGTGGGATGTGATTCACTCGAATGCTGGAAACTGTGTTCTTAAGAAAATGCAAGTAGCTGCTGCATTCTTAGATGGCTAACCAAGGGCTCAGAGAGGGGAAGTGACTTCCCCAGGACACAGCAGATGAATGGCCGAGCCCAGCCTTGCACCCCGGCAGTCCGGTTCCAGAATGTGCTATCTTACCCATGGGACCGGCTGCATCTGTGAGAATGCAGGTAAATGTCTACTTGCAAGTGGCTTGAAACATAACGGTTTGTTTTCCTCAAATATCAAGAAGTCAGGTGGAGTGCCTGGGTGGCTCAGTCAAGATGATTTTGGCTCAGGTCATGATCCCAGGGTCGTGGGGTCAGGCTCCCTGCTCAGAGTGGAGTCTGCTTGGGATTCTCTCTCTCTCTCTCTCTCTCTCTCTCTCTCTCCCTCTGCCCTTCTCCCCCACTCACTCTTTCTCTCTTTCTCTAAAATAAAGAAAGAAGTCAGAGAGAGGCAAAGACAGGATTGACTGATTGATTCAGAGACACAAAGATGCCAGGACTTTTCACTGGCATCTCTGTGATTCCCTTGATCTTGCCCTCCCGGTTGCAGCAGCTGCCCTCTTCTGTCTGCTTTAAAATGTCTTCCTTTTTGGGGCGCCTGGGTGGCTCAGTCGGTTAAGCGGCGGACTTCGGCTCAGGTCACGATCTCTCGGTCCGTGAGTTCGAGCCCCGCGTGGGGCTCTGTGCTGACGGCTCGGAGCCTGGAGCCTGTTTCCGATTCTGTGCCTCCTTCTCTCTCTGACCCTCCCCTGTTCATGCACTGTCTCTCCCTGTCCCAAAAATAAATAAAACGTTAAAAAAAATTTTTTTTAAATAAAAAATAAATAAAATGTCTTCCTTTTTATTACATAAATGCAGTTTAAAAGGAAGCTTTAAACCAGTTCATGTGTGGACAGAAATCTCTAGTTCATCCCCAATATTGAGTCTGTCTTTGCTCTGTTAGTGATAGAACCCCCCCCCCCCCACATGGGCACGTGGCTTTGGAGAGAAAAAGCTCAATTTCCTGGCTGCCCTTGCAATGAGGCGCGGTCACGTGACAAAGTTTGACCAATGGTATGCGAGCAGGATGGTGCCTGCAGCTCCCGGGTCCTTCCCTTCCTGCCCTCCACTCCTGCTGGCTGGAATGGGACCTGACCGAGAGATGGGGTGGGAAGTGCCACCTGGGAAGCCACATGTTGAGTGACAGATGGGGGAGCTTGGGATCATTTTTCCTGGATAACACAACCAACGCCGTTCGTGAACCCCTAGGCTCTGAGTGCTAGTTGTATATTTTTGAATACGTGTTAAAATTAATATATGTGTTAATAATCTAAACAGTGATCCGTGTACCATCTAAGTTCATCTCGTTTACTGTGGTATGAGTCTCTGCCTATGATGCAGTGAGGGGTTTTGTTTATTTTATTTCCACATCGGCCCTGCGAGCTAGGAACGATGAGAACTACCTTCCAGGTGAGGTTCAGAGAGGTGAGGTGACAGGTCCAGAATCAATCACACTGTTGGTACAGCAGCAGAGCCGGGATCTCTGCAAGGTCAAAATCTTCCAGGTGGAAGGGAAGAGATGTTCTACAACGAGTCAGAAAACTTATTGTGGGGGCGCCTCGGTGGCTCAGTGGGTTGGGTCCGACCTCCGCTCACAGTCCGTGAGTTCGAGCCCCGCGTCGGGCTCTGTGCTGACGGCTTGGAGCCTGGAGCCCACTGCAGATTCTTTGTCTCCCTCTCTCTCTCTCTCTCTGCCCCTCCCCTGCTTGCACTCTGTCTCTCTCTCTCTCTCTCTCTCTGTCTCAAAAATAAATAAAAAAAATTTTTTTAATGTTTTAAATACATTTTTAGAAAAAGAAAACTTACTCTGTGAGCGTCCAGATAGTAAATATTTCAGGCTTTGCTGGCCACACCATCACTACTGCTCAAACTCTGTCCTTGCAGAGAGAAAGCCTCCACAGGCAATATGTAAATAAGCGGGTGTGGCTGGGTTCCACTGAAATTTTATTTACGGTTGCCGAAATTACAATTTTGTGTAATTTTTACATCACGAAGTATTAGGCTTCTGCTGACTTTCTCCAGCCGCTTAAAAACGTAAAAACCAATCTCCAGGCGCCCGGGCGGCTCAGTCAGTTAAGCGTCCGGCTTCGGCTCAGGTCATGATCTCACGGTCCATGGGTTCGAGCCCCGCGTCAGGCTCTGTGCCGACAGCTCAGAGCCTGGAGCCTGCTTCGGATTCTGTGTGTGTGTGTGTGTGTGTGTGTGTGTGTGTGTGTGTCTCTCTCTCTCTCCCTCTCTGCCCCTCCCCCGTGCACGCTCTATCTCTCTCAGTCTCTCAAAAATAAGTTAACGTTAAAAAAAAAATTTTTTTTTTTTTTAATGTAAAAACCATTCTCAATTGGCAGGCAGCGGGCCAGAGTCAACCCACGGGCCACAGTCTGCTCACTTCCACGGCTTCATCAGTTTTCGGACTGTTTCCCTTGGGCGTTGGGCTTCAAGAGAACTGCCTCACGGTCACCCTGGAATGGTGACTCAGCTCCTTCTCCGACTTCTACCCCACTTCCTCTGTTTTATACGCTGGGCTTCCGAGGAACGATCACAGATGTTTCCTGAGCACTTACTTCAGGCCAGGGTTCTTGGGGGCCTTACATCTGAATGACGTAGAACCAGCATTGACTCCATTTAGCAGATTGGCAACCGAGGAAGCAATTTAAGAAAAGAGGCTAGAGTAGCCTCCAAGGTCACACAGCTGCACAACAGGGGCTCTGGTATTTTGAATCTTGGCTGGCTGACTTCAGAGCTTGGACTCTTAACCTCTGCTAGTCTGTCTTGTACACAAGATTTTTTTTTTTTTCCCCAAGAGTTTAGTGGCCAGGAAAAAAAAAAAAGAGAGCCATTTCCTTCGTTATAAAGATGGAAAAATCTGAGATCCAGGAAGGGGAAAGGACTTGCCTACAGTCACACACAGTGTTGGGTGCAAGGCGAAATCCAGAATCTTCTCCCATATGCTGTAGGATGTCAGGAGGTAGGAGACCCTGGGAAGCAGGGGCAGATAACTACTTTCACAAGTGGTAGGATCAGAGAGCAGGACTGATTAATGATCAGCCCTGAGTCCTAAAGGAAGGCTAATTCCAGTGCAAAGAGAGATGTTCCCTTCCACCCAGTCTCTGTGGCCTGGTGGCAGGCCATGAGTGAGGACAGCGGAGGAGGGAGTGGAGACTGTTAGTGGGCCAGGACGGGGGGGAGCAGGCTCCTGGGGGACCTAGGTCCATGAGGGACACCCAGAGCAACCACAGAGATGATAATATGAGCTCTCATTTCTTGAAGACCCACCAGCCAGACATGGTGCTTAATTTTTCATACTCATTAGCTCATTTTATAACAGTACCAAGAGGTAAGTGAGCCCCATTTTACAGAGGAGGACACTGGGGTTCAGGGAGGCAAAATGATTTGCCCAAAGCAGCGTGGTTAGTTAGTTGCTGAGCTCTGTCTGAATCTAGAATCTACGATTGTAAAAGACGAGGCTGGCTTACCATCCTTCAAGATAATGTCATTCAAAAAGCAATGTTTTAGGCTAGGTTAAGCACTGCCCTCCTCCTTCACTCCTCATTCACGAGGTCAGAAGCCGGGGGGGGGGGGGGCTTCCGAGGCCCTTTTCTCATCTGTGAAATGAGGACACCTCCCATTTCGTACATATCGTTGGGAAGCTGGCATGAGATCCGAGAGCCTGGCGCACAGGATGTGGTTGATACATGGCGGTTGTATAAAAATCACTAAGATTTCCAGGAATAGGGGAGGAGCGGGTGATACGACCCTACCCCTTGGTGCACCTTTAAGTTTCCTTGAACCTCTAGTGGAGAGGGATTTGTTTGTTACCCGTCTCCTCCACGGACCCCGAGCCCCATGGCGGCTTGCG